CTGTGGCCCACTTGTTAGCAGCCTAGTATAGTGAGAGAATGCAGAACTGTCAGCATCACAAAAGACATGACATCACAGCTTTCATGGCCAGGCCAAGCCAGGCTAGGCTACAGGCCAGGAGTCAGATTTGACCCTGCCTTTGTTTCTGTCCTGCTCCCTGACATGAGACACATATATGTGTCCTGGCTTCTCTCTCTCTCTCTCTCTCTCTCTCTCTCTCTCTCTCTCTCTCTCTCTCTCTCTCCTCTCCCCTCCCTCCCTCTCCCTTCCCCCTCTCTCTCAATCGCTCTCTCCTTTCTCTCCCTCCCTTCCTCTCCCTCCTTCTTTTTCTCCCCTTCTCTCTTTCTCTCTAGGTACCTGGGAGGGGGCTTAAACTAAACAGATAACTAAATGGATGTGTTTTGTTGTCGTTCCCGGGAGACCTGGTGGTGGCTGAGAAAAGGCAGTAATTACCAGGGCCACACTACATGACTTGAGCTTGCATCTGTGACCACCTTTTTGTACTCACTCTTGGCATCAGCATCTACAAGAGGAAGGCCCCAATCTTTTAGACAGATGTCCTCCTTGGATGGACCCCTTCTGTGCCACCTTGGCTGGGAAAGGCTTATCCAGAACTGACCTAAGTTCCACTTTGCTTTTTCCCAGGCTCTCATAGTTCATTTCCTATTAGTTCTCTCTCACCACACTTTTTCCTTCTAATAACAAAAGCCTCTAAAGAACAAAAGCCATCCACTTAGCACTCGGTTTGAACCTTTCCTTCAACAAGCTATGGTTTCTGGGAGGAAAGAATTTCTGTGAGTGCCACAGACCCTTGTCACCTCATGTCCATTGTCTTTTAGCTTCAGCACTACCCAAATCTTAGTCACATCCGAGTACCCAGCAGGCCTCACCTGCTTGGCTTAGAGGATCATTGGGCGTGGTGCTGTGAACTCATTCTTGGTGGAGGATCACTTGTGTCCAAAGGACTGAGAGCTGTGATTCTGGCCTCTGTCCCCGAGATGCCAGTTCTATCCTCAGCCTCTGGTTTTATTCTTCTGCAGGCATTGTCAAATATTCCAGGATGGGAGAGGAGATCAAATGGCTTCGTTGTGGATTACAATGCTATTCCTAAGGACTTTCCTATTGTGCCCTATTTCAGAGATCTTTCATTCAGAGACCTCACCTAAAGAGCCTGAGCCTGTTTCTGGAAGCAATCCCACAGCAGGTAGACATTTTTAGTGTGGTCAGGCTACATGAGTGGATCAGATGACAGTGGCCAATTCAGATCAGGAAGGACTACCTGATGGTGTATGGAATCCTCTTACCCCATTCTTTTTTTTTAGGTCCATTCTTAACCACTGATGGATTTGCAAGAAAGTTTGGCTAAGTCTGTCAAACCCAACCTTTCCCGGATGTTCAGTGAGGTGGAGGAAGTATGAGGCTCAAGTCAGAGTTAGCTTCAAACACAGACACAATTTTTACAGACTTGTAGTTGCCCCCCCCAACAGGGGTAGATGTTGAAGTTTCAAAACCCAATAAGCCTCTCTGCCGATGCAGCAATCCAAATCAGACTAAATCAAACCCAATTAGAAAAAGCCTGCGTTTAATGGATACAATGCTCATAGATGGCCTTCTGGTCATCCAGAGAGAAGCCAGAAAAAAGAGAACGGACCGGAAAACCACACATCTATTTTCTGGGGGACAGTTTAAATATCCTGTGGGAGTAGTCTTGAGCATCTCTGGGTGAGGGGTCATCATTTGGTAGGCTTTCTGAGATACACAAGGGTTTGGAGGAAGATATGGGAGGAAGATAAGGTGGAACTTTCACCAGAACACATGTAACCAAGGATTCTAGGAAGGATAGAATGTTGCCAGAAGGATACAAGGAATCAGTTCCAAAGGGAGTCCTGGTAAAACCTCCAAATATACCCAAACCTAGAAAATATCTGGCAATTCTTTTTTGTTTTTCTTTTGTTTTTTCTTTCTTTCTTTCTTTCTTTCTTTCTTTCTTTCTTTCTTTCTTTTTTTTTTTTTTTTTTCAAGACAAGATTTCTCTGTGTAACAGCCCTGGCTGTCCTGGAACTTGATCAGTAGACCAGGCTGGCCTTGAACTTACAGAGATTCACCTGCCTCTGCCTTCCAAGTGCTGGGATTAAAGGTGTGAGCCGCCACCACCACCTCATCTGACATGCAACTGTTACCCAGGCATCAGTCTCTGTGGCTAACCTCCTCCCAAAACAGGCAAGGCAGTGACTGAGGAGCCTTTGGGTCTCCCTGCCCTCCAGGTACCCAGAGAATGCCAACTAGTAGGTGGGACTTGTCCCCTCTTTACTCACAGTATAGAGCAAGTGAGTGGAGTTTTATGTAGTAGGCCCTGGCCCTTCTTTGTCACTTTGGAATTGCACTGTACTTCTTTCTGCCTGAATCCCCCCACCAAGACAATTTAGTTAGAAACCATTAATATGCAGGTAGTCACCTGGGTGGGTGATTTTATTCTCTTTAGCCTCCCCAGCCCTGGAAGGCACTGCCCCCCCCCCACTATCTATGTGCAGATATTAAGGAAAGCAGTGCCTCTGATGTACTTGATCCCCCACACACCTTGGAGTGCTCTGAGTATCCGATTGCATAGCAGAGGCTCTTCCCAGTGGGGGATTGACATATTTCATCTCTAATTGAAGGTGCATTGTAGACAAGATGTTCTCTGCTTCTTCTTATCCTTGCCGCCATCTCAACTGTTTCCTCCTATATTTTATACATCAATAGTAAGGGATGCAGAAGGTTCCTGGAACCCTTTCTTCTTTTGTTGGGGACCTGGGAGCTTGCGTATTGCTTTGGTTAAGTTATTATATTGAGGTCAACTTGGGATGGGTGGAGTTAGAAGTACACACCGCATGGAGCTATGTCCAGGGTTAGTCTGACTCCCCTAGTACATCCTGTTGCTGTTCTTTCAAGACAAACAGGCAGGACCTAAGCAAAGGCCATTATATGGGAATAAGAAAGCTAGAAAAGCTGAGTAGTTCCAAAGGCTTCCCTGGAGAGAGGCCCTATGTCTGCTGTCAGACCTACTGGGCCCTGACTAGCCTCTCCACACCCATTTGCCTCCATTGAAGAAACCCCTCTCCTTGGGCATTCCTCCTAGAAGACATCTGCTGCAGCTACCAAGATCGCCTTTCTCCCAGGAAATTTTCTCTTTCTCATGGTGGAGCTGGTCGTAGAGGCTCCTGAGTCACCCAAAGGAAGTGGAAGTGTCTTCACCCTTCTGGGCAATAGGAAGGGGTTAGCAGATACTGCCACCCTTGTCCCGGAACTGAGGACGTTTGTCTGAGCATCTGCAAATGACTGAACATTGCTACTTAATTAAGAATGAACACGGGCACAACATCCTCTGTCATCCTCGCTCCACCTTGTGAGGCAGACTGATGAGAAAGGACCCAAGGAAGTGAGTTCTATGCCATTGGCTTCCTGGAAGTAAATGGGCAGCCAGTGTGGGCCTTGACTAAGCACAGGAGCTGGAGGAGGGGTGTGGCCCTTGTACAGTGCTAACCAGAGCTCTAGTCCTCATCCTGAGGTACTGACTTGAGCTGCATGGCCTGAGAAGATGGAGTTCCAGTCTCACCGTGAAGGACCTTGAGCCTCTGAATCACCTTAGCAAAGAGAACGAGGAGGTCTCTGCGCGAATATCTAAGCACCCCTCCCCTCCCGCCCCGATGTCCTTATCTTTAGGCCCGTGGCTGCCTCCCTCCTCGGGTCTCTGTTCTGGGGACACACGTTGCTCTGAGCACCTGCCCCAGGTCTTCGTGGCGCTGGCAGTGGGGTCCACACCTCGTGGACCCGTAAATGCCGGCTGCCCTAGCTCACAGACTCTCGAAAGTACATAAGGTTAACTGTACCTGATCCAGACTTCAGCTCTTCATGACCACCCCCAGCCCCCAGCGTGCATGACAGTCACAAGCCCTGCTCTGCATCTCCCATGTATGACATCCGGCTAGCCTTGAAAATCATAAAGTCTTAGAAAGAGGTGCCTCAAAGGTGCCCCCACTTCGAACCCCGAGGTGTTACTATCCTAAGAGTGACTGTCCAGTTCCTAGCGTCAAAGTTGGGCAAGCCCGGCCAGCATGGTCAAGTCGAGCTAGGGGCCAGGAGGTCGGCCTGGCTGCAGAGGCTGGAGGGGCCGGACGCCGAGCGTCCCTTATGTCCTGTAGAGGGAGCTCCAGCCCCAGGTTTCCCACTGTCTCTCCCCTCCTCCCCCCATTCCAGGCGGACTCCTGCGGCAATCCCTGTTCCAAAGGTGTCGGTACTCCACCCCGAACCCACGCCAGCATCTCTGAAAAGCAGCCCCTTCCCTGGCACTCAGAGTAAAACGCCCAGAAGCACCTAGGAACCAAATGCCGCCTCCCGAACTCCCAACTCCAGCGCGGTCACACGCCACCAAGCGGGAAGTATGAGCACCCGGGTTTCTCTCGCGGATCCCCATCGCCCTTACACCTATAAGGAAGGAGGTGTTAGAGAGCGAAGCGCGGTGGGAGCGGCCTCGAAGTTGAGCGTGGACAGTCCCTATACACGGGACTGAGGGACTGAGAAACACCAGTTGTGTGGGGTCGGAATGGGAGCAGGGAGGGAGATCCTCTCAATCCACGCCCTAAGCTCCTGAATGCTTCCCTAAATCTTTCTGCTAAGTCATCAGAGAAGGCCCCAAGGCTCCAAGGTTACTCCAATGAACCCCCGGACAGAACCCAGTTCCCCAGTTCCTCGTAGGGAATCGACCCCCTTTTCTCCTCGGTCTCCGCCCTTTCTCTGGCGGGGGTGGGGGAGGCAGGGACTTCCATCGCCCCTTCTTGCAGAGGCCCTAGCTTGCCTACCTCTGAGCGGATAACTTCCGCCATTGCTGTCCTCAGACTATGCTCGCCCTTTCCTGCAGATTCTTTAAACAGCCGTGGGTGGGGTGGGGTGAGGTGGGGTTGAGGGACGCTAAAACACCAAAGAACCATCAAACAGATCTGTTCAGGTGGCAGACCCGCCGATTATAGTCAAAAGTGGCAACAGCTCATTTATTTAGCCAAAAATAGATACTTTCTTGTACAATTTGGTTCACACGTATGTACATTTTCTGTATATACAAAAAGACTCAGACACGCTTATTCTCTCTGCACCCTGCTCACCACCCCCCCCCGAAATCAACAGGACAAACGAGCCTCACAATCTAATGTGGGGCAGTACAGAAGCGACTTGGGGAGGGCCAAGGGGGACTGGCTTTATTCTTCCTTTCATTCTTTTTGTTTGTTGGTTGGTTGGTTTAGTGTTTCTTTTTTTAGGTATTCATACACAGACATGCTTGCAAGTCATAACTATACAGAGCGGGTTGCTTTTTTTTTTTTTTTTTTTACAATTAGTACAACGATTTAAAAATTGTTGAAAGAGTTAAGATGAGGAGAGAGCTGATAAGACCAGAGCAGCATCCAAGTGGTTCTGGGGCCTGGAAGAGAGTGGGAGCAAAGGAAGCGAGATTTAGAGATATGGAGCCTCCTCAGCTAGGGGACACTCTACTGAGCGTAGGGTCAGGTTTAGGGACTTGTTCAGCCCTGGGTGTATTAACTATAAGCTGGACAGAAGAGCTCAGAATTCCAGGTCGGGACTAGAAGGAGACCGGCATGGTGCAGGGGAGGCCTTATGCTCCAGAGTCTTGTTGGAGGGGCCAGACTTTCCCAGCTCTGTACCCACACGCCCTGGCCCTGCTTGAGGTGCCCGAGCTGAGAATGGAAACGCGTCTATGGATCCACAACAAGTGACACAATAATGGGTTTTGGTGCTTTTTAGAAATAGTTTCCCAGCCACTTTTCTCCCCTCCCGGGGTGCGGTGTGGGGAGCAAACAGTTTCTGTCACTGGCTCTGTGCTTTTCTTATCTCTCCTGAAGGGTCTCCCACTCTGCTTCACAAGTACGGGGTCTCTTACCGCCTTGGCACCGGCTGGAAAGCTGTCTTGAGCAACTTTTTCTCCATTTCCAAGGCACTACAGCGATCTGTAGGAAACAAGGGGAAGAAAAGGGAGGCCTTCAGAACTCTGGGTCCAGGCCTCTAGGACCCTGAAGAGGAAAACACCGTATGTCCCCCAAACCCTTGTTCTTTCCCTCTAGCCAAGGCGAGAGCCCCACCAACACCCTTTCCCTGTGACCCATACTCCTGTAGTCACCTGTTCCACTCTCTGGCTCCGTAGGCCGAGCATAGGCAGCGGCGGCAGCCGCCTGGTGAGCCGCGGCTGCGGGAAGTCCCAGCAGGTGCTGTGGGGCCGAGCCCAACATGGACAGCGGGTGTGGCCGCGGGCCGGGCGGCGGGCCTGGGAAAGGCCGGTTGGTCCAAGCCGGGAATTTGCCAAGCGGCGCCGAGACGAGTCTGTGTGCTGCTGCTGCTGCAGCGGCAGCCGCGGGCGAGAGCTGCAGCGTCGGGGGCGCGACGGCTGCCCCAGGAGGAGAACCTCCGGCTCCAGAAGGCGAGCGACGTGGGTTGTCCGGGCTGGTGGCCGTTTCGGCCAGTGACCAGATCTTGGGCTTCTGAAGGGCGGAGGAGGGCGCTGGTGCGGGAGCACAGGGGTCCAGGCCCGAGGGTGGAGAGGGTGTAGATGGAGGAGCCCTGGCCACAGGCGGTGGCACTGGGGCCAGGCTCAGGACCGATAGTGGTCGCTCCTCCAAGCCTTCAGAGCTGTCGTCCGAGTCACTATTTTTGCAGTCCGAAATGGGTCCTAGGCCGAAGTCGCCATTCCTGTGCGTTGCCCCAGCCAGAGCCAGTTCCGGCCCGGCTGCGGCACTGTCTAAGTTTTCCAAATCGATCTCCTCATCCTCCTCGTCGTCCGCCAGGCCCTCGCCCCCCGTGTCCTCCTCCTCTCCTGCGAGCTCCTCCTCCATCTCCAGCTCGCGTTTGCCCTCTTCCTCATCTTCCTCTTCATCTTCTTCCTCCCGCTCGCTCCCATATGCATTGCCCTCCTCGTCCGTGCGACTTCGTGGTGCCCACGTCATCTTATTCTCTTTCTTGAGGCGCCGGCGCGCGTTAGCGAACCAGGTGGACACCTGGGTGAGGGTCATCTTGGTGATGATGGCCAGCATGATCTTCTCTCCCTTGGTGGGGTACGGGTTCTTGCGGTGCTCGTTGAGCCAAGCCTTGAGCGTGCTCGTGCTTTCGCGCGTGGCGTTCTTGGGACGGGACGGGTCCCCGAACTGGTACTGGCCGTAGGGGTAGAAGGCAGGGTGCGGGTGCGGGAACGCGGCGGCCGTGGCCGTATGCTGCACCCCAGGGCTGTCCTTCAGCTCATACTGAGCGCCCTGTACGCACATGGAAAAGGAAAGGGACACGCGCGGGGGAGCGCGTGAGAGCTCCAGCCGCCACCGCCGCCTCCACCCTCCCGCCCGGACCCTGGCTTTCTTCTGCACACTCACCCAGCACCCCAGCTCCAACCCCTCTTTCCCGGTTTTTTCCTTCTCTTACCAGCTGTGGGAAGATGGGCAGCTCCGTAGCGTAGGGCAGGAAGGCGCCGTAACCCTGCGCGGCGGCAGCTGCAGCTGCGGCCGCGGCGTAGGGTGCCCCGTACACGGACGAAAGCACATTGGATAGAGACCCGGAGGCGGCCAGCTCCGAGGCTCCGTTTCCCGGACCGCTCCGGCCCCCCGTACTGCCGCCGCCGCCGCCGCCGCCTGCGGCTCCAGGGCGCTCGGGTGGGTAGAGCGGGCGGATGTACTGGTATCCGAGCTGGGGGAAGGACATGGTGGCCCGCGGGGCACCTAAGGAGAGGGGGCCCGGCCCCCGGCGCGGCCGTGCTCAGAGCCGCACGTTGGCTCCGGAGCGCATCGGGGGCTGGGCCGAGCTCGGGCCGCGCTGCGCCGCACTCCGCGTTCGCCTATTGATCTGTTCCGCGGCGGCGGCAGCGGCGGCGGCGGCGGCGGCGGCGGCGAGGAGTCAGGTCAGGTCCGAACAGATTGGCCGAGATTCCCTGGGCTCCGGGCTCTGATTGACATTTCTACGGGGCCTCAAGCCCCTCCTCTCTGCGCCGCTCTCCCTCCTCTAGGCCGGGAGAGCCGCTCTGCGCGCAGCGCTCAGTTCTGTCCTCCTCTCCCAAAGCTGTGTCGCGCCTGGCTTCCTTCGCCCTCCTATAGTTTACACTCCCCTCCTGTCCTTTCCTTTCCCCTCCCCTCGCTGCGTCCCCCTTACCCCACCCCCTGGTCGCTTCCGCTCCCGAGGCTCCTTGGCAGTCCTGGGCGTTGGGAAACTGCGGCTTTTTCCCCCTCTTTCCCTTTCTCACGGTTGCTTTTGCTCACCTCTCATCTCTCTTCACTTTTCCTAGTCTGACTCCTCTTTTAAATCTCTTTTTCTCTCTCTGGCTCTCTTCCCTCTCCCCGGTCCTGGGCTAAACGACCTAAAGTTGTAGACACTTAGAATGCTGTGCAGGGGGTGTGTGTCCGCGTCAGTGTCTGTGTGTCCGTCCCCGCCCTTCCACCCCCTCCCTCACCCTTCCCCAAATCTCGAGTCTGACGTTGCGCCCTCTTATTCGACTTTTCCTCGCGTCTCCTCCTGGAATCTCCAATCACCCGGGAGCCTTCTGGGCGAGGCAGCCTTCCCTCGCGTATACAGAGCGCCGGGCGGGGCGGGGCGGGACGGGACGGGACGCAGTCTTTTCCCGCCCCCCTCTGCCAGCACAGGGAGGGGAGAGCCCAGACCTGGAGTGGCGGGTTAGTTCTGGGTCATCTCTCCCCTCGGGTCTCCCAACTCCTCACTTCTCAGTCCCCACAGCCGCTGTAGTTCCGGGGTGGGACGGGACCCCGGACCCGGGCAGGCTCCGGGGGTTTTTCTGTGCGGTGGTGTTTCCCTTTGCAGTTCTCAGCTCTGGTCCCTAGGACGCTCCCAGTAGCCTCAGCCGGCTGCTAAAAGAGTTGAGCGTGCAGCCTGGGAGTAGGGAGTGCTGCCCCTCCGAGCTTTTAAAAGACTGATTCTGTGCTAGGGGAGCCCTGCAGTTTACCACGTTAACACCTCCGGGGTACCTCGGTGAGAATTCTCATTAGAAAGTGAGTTGGACTCCCCGGTGGTCTTGCGGAGCACGCAGAGTTGGAGCTCCTGACTGTGGGGTGGGGGAGGAGCATAGAGTCTCATGGCGGAGGCTCTGGGAACTTTCTGAGAGCACTTCGAGAAGTTTCTGTGTTGGTGTTTTTGGTCGATTACGACCATTCATTTCACTGTCCCTTCTTCTGTTCTCTGGGCCCAACGCCAGTGTTTTCTTTTGGTGACAATCCCCTAGAGCCGTGGAGCCTGTGCATGCGGGGGTGGGGTGCAAGACTGGTTTTCTGGTAGGATATCTAAATGTTGTAGAGTAGGATACCTAAATCTAACTTGAAATGGTAGTGTCCAATTGCCCACCTTGACGGATTATGGTGTGCAGCGGAAAACCACACTGAAATTCTCAGAATAGCTGTGGCTCCTAGCTAAGCGACTTAGATTGTAGCGGCGGCCCACGCGAGGGCCAGGCCTACTGCGGGCCTGCGGCTGGCCCGGACAACTCCAGGGCTGCGATTCTTTAGAAGAGCGAGGATCCCCAGCTTAGAGGCAGAAACGCCACTCCAGCGTCTCTAGTTGATCTACAAGTCAAGTATGAATTCCCAGTGGAGGGATCTGAGGGGTCCGGGCTGGTCGGCTCTGGTATGAATAGTTAAGTTAGGGAATGAAGGTTTCTTTCACCCTGGCTCTGGATTCCAGTCAAGAGTAGAGTCCGTGTGCCACCTCCTATTACATTCCACAGGCCAGGAGGTGCCACTCAGAAAATTAGTAGGTAAGCGCAGACTGAAGTTGGGGTTTAGAGTTCAATGGCAGCATCTGGAATCTCCCTAAATTGGCTCTGTGCGGCTTCTCTATCCCTTCCTGGCCTTCCATGCCTGGTGCTGGGTGAGCCTTACAGAGGTTGGCTTTTGGTGAGACTGACAGAGGAGGCACTGCAAGGCCAGCTGTGGCCTTCAAATGCTTTTCCCTAGCCGGATTCCGTTTCTGGTTAAATCTGTCAAGGGAAGCCAGGACTCACCTGCTCAGGAAGGGTCTTAAGGGTACAGAATCGAGGTGACATTATTTCCCAGGATCTTTCCTATGTATAGGACTGTGAGTCTTGTTAGGCAGCTGTGAAGACCGAAGACCTACCTACACAGTGGTGGACCAGGCCAATGGTCAACAGAGTCAGATTCCAAGGTGGGCGAAGAGGCTTCTGTGAAAACACGAATATTTAATTCCGTTTTTTCTTGTTTCTTTTTCTTTTTTCCAGTGGAAAAGAAAAACAAAACGCAAAACTACAAAACACACGCGCGCGCGCGCGCACGCGCGCACACACACACACACACACACACACACACACACACACACACACACACACACAGTCTCACATAGGCGCCCCTGAGATGCTCCTTCCGCATTGCATTAACCAGCTATCGACCTAGAAGCACCGGAAGAGCCAGGCTGTTCTCAGGAAGGACCCAACGCCGGCAGGGGGCCACCCCTGGCCCAGAAGGTGAACCTCTAGACCCAGAAATGAACCTAAGAACCTCACTTAATTAGATCCCTCCAGGCATCCCAGGCCAGAGGCAGAAACAGCTTCCCTGTTACCCCGTGACCAAATGGGAAGAAGAGCCTTGGCCAGGCCTTGAAATCTGCACTCCAAGTCGGGATTCAGCATCCCCAGCGGTTGGAGTCACGACATGGCTCTGGTTCTTCAACAGGACCAGGGCAGTGGAACCCAGCTCCCAGACTAAGCTTTTGAATCCGCCGGTTGTTGAACCTTTGCGAGGGATTTTTAATCCAGATTAGGTCAGATTGACATATTTGCACAGCACCGCAAGCGAAGAGAAGCAGGTGCACGGGGGAGTTGATTGGGAAAAGACCTGAACACAACAACGTGCGGCTGGCAGAAGCTTCTCCAGCACCTTCCTTGTTCCAACAGTCCCAGTGCACAAAGTGCTGCCAGCCCTTTAAGTGGATGCTCTCTAGTCTGGCCCAGGGCGCCAGGAGCACACACGCTGGAGGACAACTGCTTGGGAGAGGCCCATCAAGTTCGGAACTTGAAGGGAGAAAATCACTCACACTCGGAGCCACCAGCCCCCACCTCTTCACTCTCTTGGTCCAGCTCCCCCCACCCCTTGTGCTTGCATCCCCCATCTCCTGGAGCCGCAGCAGCCCTCAGTTGGCCAGTCTTTAGTCTTTTCCTCCCAAGGCCCAGAGTCCCCCAGAGGCAATGCTTGCTGGCCATCCTTCAGCTTCCTGCAGACGCTGCGGGCGTGCGCTCCCACTGCCCCCCTTCCCCCGCGCGCGTTGGGGTTACAGGTTAATGAAACGCTCGTTTTCCTCAGTCATTTGTTTTGTTTTCCTGCAAAGTTCTGATAAGTAGCTAACCAACGAAGCTTGTAATTACAATCTTACAGAAACCGGGCCGATCTGTATATAAATCTCACCATCCAATTACAAGATGTAATAATTTTGCACTCAAGCTGGTAATGAGGTCTAATACTCGCGCATGCGATAATCCCCTCTGGATGCTGGCTTGATCAGATGTTGGCTTTGTAATTAGACGGGCAGAAAATCATTATTTCATGTTCAAATAGAAAATGAGGTTGGTGGGAAGTTAATTTCTCTCCGCTCTGTGAAGCGTAGACAAGAATTTAATGATTTAATTACAGTTGTAAGCCCTTTCCATGAGACTTAAATTGAGCTGAGAATATTTTTTTTCCTTTTCTCTCTCTCTCCCCCTCTCTCGCTTTCGCGTTCTCTCTCTCCGCTATTAGCAGCCACACGGACTTGCAGATGCGTGGCCTGGCGTAGCACGGGGAGGAATTCACATTTGACTGTGAATCCGGCCTCGGAGCATCCCAGGAGGCGCGGGCTGGGCCGCGTCTGCCCTGCAACTCTAGCTGAGCCCTGTTAGCTGTAAGAACCTGTGAGGCTGTCCCTGGGTCAAGAGACGCTACTGGAAACTGGGAAACTTTGGGATAAACTTTGCAAACTTCTCTCCCAGCGCTCGAGAAGCTGCCAGCTGCCGGTTGGAAAGGTTGCAGCATCGGCTGCTTGGGCCCTAGGCCTGATTTGTGCACCGCAGAGCCGGCCAGGACGCCCCACGAGAAGCGCGAGGTTCTCCAGCCGGCTCTCCGAGCGCTCCTGAACCTCCGGACCAGGCCTTCAGCCACCGGCCTTGGAGTGGCCAGATCTGCGCTCTGGCTCCGGGAATCCCAGCATGGATGGAAAACCCTGGCCCTGAGCGCGAGTGGTTTTATTTCTCTTTTTCTATGCAGGCTCATCCCGTTTCCACCTGCGATGAGCATTTCCGTTGACCGCCTTGTTCTTTTCCGTCCTGTCTATTCCTCACATTTTCTGTATGTTTGATTTCCGGAGCCTTTATTTTTCTAAATTTTTTTAAACTCCAAATGTGTTCTCCCTCCCACCGTCTTTTTTTTTTTTTAATTTCAGTTTTTCAGTCCCCTGTTTTCATCTCCCCCATCTCGCTTTCTCGGTTTCCTCTTCTTTCTCTCTCTCTCTCTTTCGTCCCCATCACCCTATTTCAATCTTGGTCTATCCCAGGCTCTCTTCTGCAGGTTTACTCTCATTTCCTTTCCTCTACAGAATTTGTTCCCTCCCCCGCCTGTGGATCTGCTTCCCAGGCATCCCCTTCTCATCCATCTTGGGAGATGAATATGTCGCCTTATTGGATGCGGAGGCCAGAGCAGGGCGATGGGGCTCGGCCAACGTCGCACATTTTCTTCATGCATATTGAGAATATGGTAATGAGTGCGTTTGCATTGTTGCATGGAAATGATGCGTCTCTGCGGTGCGGAGTGGGCAAGGTTGGTGTGGACCCAAGGGAGCCCGATAGTAGGCCCGGGGCCTTGTGGCCCTAGTTACCGACCGGGATGGGGGGGGGGGACGAGGAAGTGACCTCTTAGAGCGCCTTGCCAGCCCTCTGCTTGCTCTGGCTTCCACAAAGGTGCCGCTGCCTGCGTTAAGGCATGGCTGTCGCGGGCCTTGGAATCCTTTCCCGGTGATCAGAGTCCTGAGGAGAGCCTGGCTCGGTTCTCTAACGACTATGCGTTGTTTGCGACAAGAGTGACCTTTTAGGATGAAACATAGCCGCACCATGCGCACTGTGCCACACGCATCTTCATCCTGGGG